ATGGACGTCCAGGACTGTGAAACCATGTCGCAGGCATACGAGACTACGCCGTGGTTGATAGACGCAGGTCAGGTGAGTCTTGCCAGGCGGCCTAGGTTGTACTGGTGCACCTGGGATCCTTGGAGCATGCCCGGAGCCACAGTGATCAAGGGGAGAGAAAGTGCTCTCCCAGTGCAGGGGCGCGTTGAGTTGGTTGCAACAGTGGATGAGCAGGATTTCCTGGAGGCTGGCTGGCGCCGTGTTCGTGCGGACAGTCCTTTTCCCACGTTTACCACTGCTAGGCCGTCGCCTCAGCCGGGACGCCGGCCCGCAGGACTCAGTTTGCGTCCCCCGGATGCAATCGCTCGGTGGAAAGCGGACCTACACCGGTTCCCGCCATACCAATACCGTGCTGAGAACTGTGTGGTGAACCGCGCAGGCGAACATCGGGTTCCTTCAGTCAAGGAGAGGGAGGCCATTCTTGGGTTCCCTATGGACTATACCCGTCGGTGCATGGTCAAGAGCATGGAAGGGAAGCCAGATCACAATGACTGTCGGCTCCGTTTGCTTGGTAACAGTTGGTCGATTCCGGTGGTCGTCTACTTGCTCTACTGCCTGTTTCGTACCCTTGGAATGTTGCCCGACCTTGACGTGGAGACGCTTGTCTTGCGGTTGACCCCAGGGAAAGAACAGAACCTTGCAAGCCTCCTGCTCCGACCTCCCATTCGCCAAACCACCAAGGCGGGGGCGCCTCCAGTGGGGCTGGTACCGCGGTTGTTAGGGCAAGTCTCTGTCAAGGGAGAAGACATCCTGCTTCAATTGGGCACGGATCTCCCAGCAAGATAGCACAGGTTACGAGCTTCGATTCCCAGCAAACTTTGGCGATGGAAGGATGTGGCAGGGTGGCGCTGGACGGGTGATGCGGAACACATCAACGCCTTGGAGCTGCGCGCAGTCAAAACAGCCATAGTTTGGAGGTTGAAAGAGCTTGAGGAAGGAGCCTGCCGTTTTTTGCATCTGATCGATTCTCTTGTGGTGCTTCATGCTTTGTCAAGAGGAAGATCGTCGAGCCGCCGTTTGAGGAGAACCTTGTGTAGGATTGGAGCGCTTCAGTTGGCAAGTGGGCTTGTGGGTGTGTGGGCCTACGTGGACACACACCAGAACCCGGCCGATCGGCCGTCGCGAAGGCCATTACATCGGAAATGGGGAAAAAGGCCACAAAAGTGATGGAAGGTAGGAGTCAACAGGAGCGCAAGAAAGTCCGAAGCAAGCTAGGTTCACTCAAAGGGCTCACAGTTCAACCTCGCACAAGAGAACGATATACAGACTGCTTAAACCGCTTTTTCGACTGGTTGGCAGGGGAGGGATTGGTCCTCCCAAAGCGGCAGAACCTCCTCGATGGCCTGGTCAGTGACTACCTTGAACATCTGTGGGCGGTAGGCGAAGGCAAGTCAATTGCCAATAACACTTTAGCAGCTCTTCAGGACCGTGATCCCTCTCTCAAGCGAAAGCTTCCAGCAAGTTGGCGGTTGTTGAAAGCCTGGACATCGGTAGAGATCCCGAATCGGGCGCCGCCCTTAACCCTTCAGGTTCTGGATGCTCTCTGTGGGTGGTCAATTTTTAACGATTGCCCCACCTTTGGCTTGTCGCTGCGTGTCGCATTTTTTGGTTTGTTGCGCACAGGAGAACTTCTGAGCCTACGGGCAAAGGATGTGTTCATCCCTGGGCCGAAGGGACCGGCCGTGCTGTCATTAGGCCTGACTAAGGGAGGCGCACGCCAAGGAGCAGCCGAAAGTGTAACCCTGCATGAGCAGTCCATCCTCCCAGCTTTGTGGCGTTGGAAGCAGTCCAATTCTCCAACAGCCTTTTTAACTCTCAAACCTCATGCTTGGCGAGCATTATTTGCTCGGGCCATTGATGCATTGCACCTCACTGACCAACATTTCAGACCTTACAGTTTACGACGTGGTGGCGCGACGTTCCACTTTAACCATCACGGATCGTTCGACACCCTCCTTGTCCAGGGGCGGTGGGCAGCAGCCCGTACCGCCCGTATATATTTGAACGACGGTTTAGCACAGTTGGCAGATCTGTCTCTGTCAAATTCATCCCTTGCTCCTTACCTGAACTTGTATCGCAAGAGCCCAACCCTTGAGCCAGCAGTGCCTTCAAGGCCCTGCAGATCAGGGGGACGTGGAGCCAAGAAGAAGGGCAAGCCGAAAGGTTGAGTTTTTCTTTTT